ACCTCCTCCAACAAGGCCACACCTCCTCCAACAAGGCCACACCTCCTAATAGTGCCACTCCTTTTTTCGGACCATTTTCTTTCAAACCACCACACGGTATCCGATGCCCTCTTCTGACTCCCTCGGGTACAAAGCACACAGTGTGCAAACACATAAATGCAGGCAAAACACGCACATAATCTTACACACGCATACAGCCAGATGATTTTGTGAAGAAATTGCAACCCTTTTATTTCTGGTGAGAATGTAAAATGGTGCTGCCCCTTTCAAAAATTACGGTCCCTTAAAAAGTGAAACATGTTACTGTGTGATCTAGGAATCCCAATTCATTTTTGATCCCAAAGGAAAACGTGGGATCAGTGGTTAAAAGTACTTGTTGCTAAGCCTGACAGCCTGAGTTTGATCCCAGGTTCCTACACTCGTTGGAAGCAGAGAACTGATTTCTGCCAGTTGTCCCCTGACCTCAACGCACATGCTGTGTCACATCAAAAAATCTCTTTACACAGACATTTATAGCATTGTTGTTAAAAGGTGGAAACAGGCTGATGAACAGACAAACAGCATGGCTTCCAGCTGTGTGATAGAATAGTCTGCCCATAAAAGGGATAGGTGAGCAAACATGCTGCAACATAGATGAACCTTGAACACGTTATGCTGGTCCATGCTATAACAATGATGAACCTTGAACATGTTATGCTGATACATGCTATAACATAGATGAACCTTGAACACGTTATGCTGACACATGCTATAACAGATGAACTTTGAACACGTTATGCTGATACATGCTATAACATAGATGAACCTTGAACATGTTATGCTAATACATGCTATAACACAGATGAACCTTGAACATGTTATGCTGATACATGCTATAACATAGATGAACCTTGAACACATTCTGCTGAGGAAAGCCAGATACAAAAGGCTATGCATTGTGGGATTTTATTTACAGAAGTGTCCAGAGCAGACAGACCCTGTAGAGAGCGTTTGTAGCTGACAGGTATGAAAGACAGTCAGGATTGGCAGCAAGTCCCTTTACCTGCTGGCCCGTCTCACAGCCCCCACGAACCCATGTAGGTCGTTATAATTAGGTTTCCCCAAATGATTCACAACCGGAATGGCCTGCTGAGTCAGAAACCGTGTTCTGCTTCCTAGATCTAATAACCTGCAGTCTGTCCGCGCCATGCTGGGCCTCTGCACTGCTGGCTCCTCCCTCCCTGACTCTCTTCTTTACCTGTCCCAGTCAGCTTCTCAACTGGTCTTTCCATGCTTCTGCACTGGCTGCCCCAGTCACCCCTTAATTGTACAGATGTTACTGTTACCAAACTTAGGGTTCACAGTCTTAACCCAAGAAGCCAAGTTCAGCAACCAATTCTCAAGAATCCAGTTAAACTAGCCAAATTACTTGTTAAAATACACACACACACACACACACACACACACACACACACACACACACAAAACAAAACAGGAAAAAGAGATTTATTCAGTGTAGCCACATTGGGAAAAGGGACAAAGAGAACAGCACATTTAAGCATCTGGGTCAAGCTGTGAGCCCGCCCACCATTAACACATCATTGTTAGAGCTTCAGTCTCATTCTGTAAGGCTGGCTGACAAGTTGTACATCTCTTCTCGAGTTTTTTCCCTCTTTGATGGCTCCTTCTCTTCTCCCAGCATGAAATTCTTGGGGGGATTCCTACCTGGGGGGTCCACTAGCCCTAGGTGGGGTAGCCACCTTGATAGAAAAAAAGAGGTTTCTCATATCTAGGTTGTTACTCTAGCTGCCTGTTGGTCCAATGCTCACAGAAGCTCTAGGAGTTAAAGTTTATCTCCTCTCTCCACTACACTTGCCCACTTAGAGTGTGGGTTAGCGGTGTACTGTTGTGGGATATTTTAATCCCACTCTGACACTCCCAAGACTGCCCAATAAAGTTATACCTTGAATCAGAGGGCGGAACCAGTGAGTAGCTACCAGGAATCAGTCATGGAGAAGCCAGCAGTTTGGATAAAGAAGACACACGGGGAAGAAAAGGCGAGGGCTAGAGCATGAGCTCTCTCGGCTCAGGGACCAGTGAAGAGATGTGTCTCTTGTGGTGTCTCTGGTCAAAAAGCAAGGCCAGCTAGGTGCTACTCAGCCTCTTTGAGCTACCAGGCTTTCACCCCAGCCTTTGCTTCTGAGTCTTATTGATAAGTAGAATGATAGAGTCTTAATTTAAACCTACATATGGCAGTCACAGCAGTCAGGGCCATGGGACCAGAAGCCCGAGTGGCCCACAGAGCACTGACTGAGGGGCCATGGGACAGTAGACGATAATTAAAACATCAGTAGAGTCATGTGCAGCTGCGACGCGCATCCTGACCAGCAGGAATGAACGCCACTAAAAACGAGAATTCCTTCCCTGGTCACGTCTTTATTCGGAGCCCTTTGATTGAGGAAAATTGGGG